CATACAATGTATTGTAGGCTATTGCTACAAATATACCCGTGCTACTTATTACTGATTTTGTGCTCCAGGGTCACATATATATTTTTACTGTGTTTAATTGATCTCGTTGAATGAATCTGTAATGTCAAACTTGGACATGCAGTGGTAAAACCTAAGAAAGGCATACAAACGAAGGTCTATAATTAAAAGAAGTTACTTGTGAGTTTGGGTTTTTCGTATCTACTCTTTTAATTGAAACATAATTTTAAACATAATTTTAAATGAGTCATAAGTTCTTAGGTCAAAATGCAAAGTGGAATATCCCTGCTCTTGGTCTTAAATGAATGGTTCACCCAAAAATGGATGTAGATGAGTTTGTTTCTTCATCGTAACAGATTTGGAGAACTGTAGCATTACATCATTTGTGCACCAATGGATTCTCTGCAGTGAAAGGGTGCCGTCAGAATGAGAGTCCAAACAGCTAATAAAAACATCACAATAATACACAAGCAATCCACACCACTCCAGTCCATTTGTTTTTCAAGAAACAAATTCATCATTTAAGTGTTTTAACTTTAAAGCATCGCTTCTGGCCAAAATAGTAGTCCATAATGCATTATCACTGCCTCCAGTGAAAAAGTCCATCCTCTGTTGTTCTCTCACGTCAAAATGCTCCCACATATTTGTTTAGAACTGTTTTCACTTGTAAACAGTGCTTGATCTGTGCATACTTATCTCCTGATTCAGACAAGACAACTTTTTTCCACTGGAGAAAGCAAAATTATGGATAGAGCACTCATATTTTTAATCCTGAAACAATGTTTTAAAGTTAAAATGCTTAACAAAATGTATTTGTTTCTTACAAACACACAGCTTTTCACTTCATAAGATGTTAACAGATGGACTGGAGTCGTATTGATTACTTGTGGATTATTGTGATGTTTTTATCTGTTGTTTGGACTCTCATTCTGACGGCACCCATTCACTGCAGAGCATCCATCAGTGAACAGATCATTTAATGCTCAATTTCTCCAAATACGTTCCCATGAAAAAACTAACTCATCTACATCTTGGATGGTCTGAGGGTGAGTACATCTGCAGCTAATTTTATTTTGTGTATAAAAAATCTTTGTTTAATTTTCCTTGAATGTACATTTGATATGTTTTATAAGTAAAAAGGTCTTGGTTGGGGACAAATCAAACATTTCTCTGATTACTGTATTACGTTTAACATTGTTATTTCTTGATGGCTGGTTTTCTTTCCTCTTGATTGTTTAAGTCAAGTCATATTTATTTATATAGTGCTTTTCACAATACAGATAATGTCAAAGCAGCTTCACAATAATGAGCAGGAAAATAATGTATTTAGTGAAATTCATTCATTATTAAACAAATTCAATTTCAGCTATATGCAGCTCTACAGGAGATAAGTGTCATTATTCAGCTCAATTTAGTTCAGGGTTAACACACTTCAGTTTAACAGTGTCAGTGTTGCAAAGTCAGTGTCATTTTCCTTTTCAATTTGGTTCAGATTTTCACTAAGAAAAATTCCTTCCTATTAATACAGTACATTGGGCCATATTTATACAGACTTTTCTTAGGGTCTTGGTCTGTTCATCTAGTTTAGGTGGCGTGTAATATTTGCTGCATGCCATTTTAATAAAAAAAAGGAAACCAGAAAGCAAGATGAAAAGAAAGTTGAATGATGAATTGGTTGACTGTATGATTCTTATTTTTTATTTTTTTTGCTGTATTACTCCACTAGTCAACATTTGAAGTGGATCACAACC